GAGATTAAGCTTGTTTATCAATTAGTGGCAACAGGAATTAATGCACGATAGAATTTCCATCGATTCTCCGATATATTTTTTTGATTCATCTTGCAGAGGAAGAAAAGGTAATTTTGTGATATTGTGAGCTTAGAAATAAGAGAGAAATGAATTCTTACAATTAATTTAATCAGAATAATTATAATTATTCTACGTCCATGAGTTTCTATGATATATATATTCTATTCTTTCAATAACTTCTACTCCATAATAATAACTCAATTGTACCATATAATTGTACCCTATTACTTGTACATTTCTTCTTGCCTACTTTACACTTCATTCCCTCACTTCAGACAAACTACGTAGACAACTCTAGGACACGTTCAGACGGGTCCACTCAAAATCTTGAGTGACCATACCTTTCACACCTTTAAAACTCGTTCCAGACGGAAGGTCAACTCGTTCCTGCAGAAATATTCATCATCTCCTGCGCATAACCCATACTTTCTTTAATTACATCCATCCATTTTATCACTTTTTAATCGACAAACATTATCTTTTACGATATACGTAAAATGAAATTTCTGATTCGAATGAAAGTAAAGTATTTACAATATAATAAATTACATATTTTTGAATAGGTAAAATCAATCCACAAATTTTTATCGTTTTTCCATCTTCTAAATAATATAATTTCAAAAATAATTTTTATAACAGGATAATAATGGAACCTTAATATGAATTTTCGTATCATTACATTTTAAAACGTACACATAAAATTCATATAAAATCTGTTAATAGAATTCACTCAAAACTTTGCTAAAAAACTTTTGTAACTGTCTATATATACAAGTAAGAAAATCCTTCGTTAAAATCATTGTTCCAAAAGTTCCAGAAAAATACAGGATATATGTGGATACAGCGAAGAGAAAAAGAAATGAATGAAGAATGATCCACGAAACGTAGGTATCGAGATATCAATCGTGATTTTCAGGGGGAATTCTTTCGGCCATTATATTTTCGCGTGAATTGAGCGCATACGTGGATGCACGCCGCAATACCGATCCTTCATCGTGCCGTCATGCTTGAATTATTTAATTGGATTCTCGCATTTTAGCACGCCTGTATACCTCCCTGTACACGGATTAATTTTGCTTACCGGCACAGTAGAAATACACAGGAACACGAGAGAGAGAGAGAGAGAGAGAGAAAGAGAGCTGTCTCGGAAAATTCACGATTCGTTACACCTCCTTCGTTTGTGCAAAAATGCAATGAAGTTTATGGCTCGAATCTCGAATAGATCGAACTGCAGATTTTTATCGCAGTGTACGTACGTGTTTCCTATATTAAATGAATTTCAAAACATCCCCGTTTCAAAACTTCTTATTCCAGTTCCCCGATCGTTTAATCCTCTTTCTCCATATATCCAGTTATATAATTTAAAGAAGAGAACAAGTATATAGCATCGTATTTCACAGTTTGTTGAAAACACTTTCTTGAAAATAATCAAACAACAATTATTATATATAACTTGCGTCTTATTTGCGATCCAAGTGCATCGATCGAACGAATCTCTTCGATCTTTTCGAAATCAAAAAAATAACATCCGCGTGTCAAATCGAGTCACGAGACTCGATGAAGGATCGAGAAAGGAGGGTGGTAAATGAAGATCAACGCGGATGATATTTGGTCAGAAAAGCAGGGGAGGGGATTTCTCCTGGCTGCGACATCGAAACAGGAACAGCAGGGGAGGGTGGAAAAGAAACGAGGTGATGGCCTGGTTCCCAGTGGGGAAGAACGCGGGATCGGTTCATTGAGGCGGCGACTTCAAAAGGATTCGCGCGAACGGGGAAGTGGAATTTTCATTATCGGAATACCAGTCACTGTCAGTAAACCTTTTACCGCTTTGATAAGCGTGGCCAGGGTGAAAGAGGACACTGGATGTAAAAAAAGAAAGAGGGAGAGAATGGAGGAAGGGGTGGAAAAGAAAGAAAAAGAGAAGAGGATAGAGCTCGTCTTGCTTTTCGCCATGACTAACATCGAACGAAGAGAGACTCGTATTCTTGATTCGACGGCAACTGTGTTCATCTTTCTGTGCAACGTTTAGATCGATCCCCGTCGATGAATGAACGAAAGGGATGGTCGTCGGCCAAAGATGGAATGCGTGGGCGGAATACGAAGGCGGAAATCTGGTTGTGTTGAAAAGAAGAATTTGATGGTGGTAATATATCGTTGGGATCTTTTTTAAAAATAATTTTGACTACTCTTAAATATATTTGTTAATATCGTTACGCTTGATCTGAGATTATTTTATTCCATTATTTAATTCTAATCTTTCTCGATTTAATGGATTGCGAGTTATACATATTTTCAGATTTCAAGAAAAAGAATCGAATGAACGAATATATGACGATATGATTATATTTATCGAAATGATGAAACTGTTGTTCTAGTGTACAATTTTTATAAAAATTTAGTATCGTGTAACGTTTATCATTTCCATAGTCGCGTTTGATGTGAATTACATAACGTACGATTCAATACATTTTAACATAATATAAAATATGTATAACCGTAAGTTCCATACGATTTTATTGAAAAATTATTAGAATACCTTATTTTTGAATATGTTTGAAGTTTCATGAAAATAAAATATGAGCAAGGCACATTGATATTTACTCAGATGTCTTACGAAAAATAATCTACAGACGTATTATTGTTTCTGTACAATTTGCCCGAACAACCGCCATAAATCAATCGCGAAATCGTGAGTATACGTATCAAAATATATATATACACCATTCGAACCAATGTACACACACACACACACACACAGACACAAATACAGAAAATGATCCTTCTTTGAACGTCCACGTGTCCACGCCAAGATTAAGAACCGCGGTTGCTTACGAGCGATCCGGTTTAATGCAAATAAAAGTGGGCAGCCGCAAGCCACGAGGAAGTTGGCCATGGCTCTCCTGGGGAAAGGAAGATCGTAAAAGGGGGAAGGGATGATGCGAGTCGATACTGTGGTGGTAGTCTCTGATGGGGAAATTGAAAACGTTGTATGCACTGTTGCTTGAGGAAATGTAGGACGAGCCGTAAATTTGGCCGGATGTTAAGCATGTGTTCCACGTCTCAGGGGAAAACTGACTTAAAGGATGTATCGAAATAATGGGTCGAGGATTAAAACTGTAAGGGAGGGGGGATTGTAAATCTTCTGTTTCTTTCTGTTTCGTTACGAGATGCATATTGAAAAAAATTTTGTGGGAATGTTTTTTATTATCGTTTTTTTTTTCTTTTCTTTCTTTTTTTTTTTTTATTTTTTATCAAGAGATTCAATGGAATAGCAGCACGGTTATTTTGTAACAGAGATATGAACGCAATGAATTCTAGTTTCACAAATAAAAATTTGTTGCGAATATCAATAACGTTTCAGTCGTTTGCAGCTGAAAGGAATATATTCAATACGAATTTTAAATAATATTTTTATTTGAATTTATTTGCTCTATCATTGATTAATATTAATGCTTTCGCAATTACAATTAAAAGGAACAAGACTTTATTGTTATGGAAATTTGTTCTGTATATCTTTGTAAAAGAAAATTTTCTGATTTAATATCTCAGTAACGAATTTACATGTGCATGGATGTACAATAAATCAATGTAAAATAAATGACAGTTACGATAAATTTTTAATTGGCAGGCAATAATTTGTCAATTCTAATTTTTAAATTTTTATTAGAATTTTATCACTAAATCGCGTAATTAAATTATAGTCTTTTTTTTTTTAATATTAAGAATGTATTTCGAAAAAATAAAACATATTTTTGTATTCATGCATATTAGGTGGATCTAAATCGTTAATGAAGCTTATTTCAAATGAGCAGTACGAACAAATTATACGAATTAGTTTAAAATTGTAATGCTGGATTCCAATTCTCCAAATTAATCTGTACCTGAATAAGATGCATAAGGACGCGGGCTTAATTTTAACTTTTACTCGAAAGACATACTTCCGAACTAATTACGAGTCACGTCCAAATTACGAGGAAACAGCAGTTAATTTAAAACTTTCTCGTATGTACGCTACACATAGAAAATCTTAATCTTCTTAATCTTTTTTTTTTATAACCAAAATAAAAATTCTATGAATTTTGCATTAACAAGATTAAGGTCTTAAAATATTTCCATATTTATCATTTTAATATTCTTATTATTGTTCTAATTTTAGATAAACAAATTAATAACATTTATTTATATAAAATAGAAAATTATTGAATTTTCGTTCTTCAATGTTTAATGAACGATATTAATGTATTCATAAAACCGGATCAAACGGCGATAATTCTAAATGAACAACGATATAATTTTTAGAAACGAATACAATTTCCATTTAAATTATAGCCAATGTATTTATCAACGTAAGAATATTTTTATGTGCCGTTTTTCATAGGGTAAAAAGAAAAATACTATTTCATATTTCTAAGCACAAAACCAAGTATGATATATGTGATTCTATAAGCATTTCATTACTTTGTGATACGTGTGTCGATGATATTGACATTTTCTCGATAGCACTTTGTTCCTTTAACAAACAAACGTGACAAATTTTCAAATAACGATATCTATTTTGATTAGACATCGTAACTATCAATATTTATCTATGTATTCTCATCATTTTTTGTTATTGATAATAATAAACACTCTTATTTCACTTCTATATAAATCCAAACTAAAATTAATATACTTTTCGTATTGAATTCAATTTTTAAATTTCGAGACACGCGAATAAATGATTAGAATCACTATCAAAAAAGTGTATACACTTATTTTTTTTTAGAATTATTTTTTATTCTTCGTGCAAGCATATTCAAAAACTTTTTCAAAAAATTTAAAAATTTCCATCAAACGTATCTGTTTGAAAAAAAATCTTATTACCAAAATGATAAAATTCGTAGCAGGAAATAGAATCACATCTACAAAATCGTCGAACTAAATTCTCTCGAGATACTTACCAAAGGGCCAACTGGTAATGTAGAATCGCACGGTTCGGTTGCGATGTGTCTCGCAGGAAGTTGGCAAAGTTGTAATGCATCTTAGCGTTGTGGGGGAGAGATCGCAGACCCGCTCTGCAACCAAGTGATTCGAGATCAAACAAGAGAATATTAAAGTTATCAAAATATTACGTTAAGATAGGGGAAAAGAATATAAATTTATTTTAAAAATATAAATCTATAAATTTTGGAAGGAAATCCTATCTATGCTTTCTTGATTGATGGTATAATTTCACGTTATTTTATACATAAGTTATTTCGATTCGTTAATTACATTATATTATATTTACAAATTCTTCTTTAAAATATTAATTTAATAAATTTTCCTCGAAATAATTCGTCAAATATATATCTTTCATTTTTGATGATCTTTTTCTACGTTAAATATCTTTTATTACAATTGTAAACCCATGAAACATCCATTATCGTGAAATTTCATATTCTAACATTTTTACAACCTCCCAGATAATTTCTTTTTTGTGGTAATAAACTACTGTAGCGTTTCATAAAATGTAGAAATTTCTTTTTTTTTATTTTTCAAAAAAAATTCCGCGCGAAAGCGTTTTCTCGGCGAATTTTAAAATATTCATAAATTCTTCGGATGGTTCCGCGAATAATAATGTACTCGGAACATTTCCCTTTCGACTGAAATTTTTGAAGTCAGTGTTTCAAGGTGAAATACAATTCGTTGTCAATTAATAAAGAAAAAAAAAAAAAAAAAAGAAAATAAAATAAAATAAAATAAAAAAATCGCATTATTGATATCAATAAACATTCAAACGAATTTGTTTTCTTCTCTATTATTGACACTATCGTTATCAATCGGATGTTATGACAGCTTTTATATACGATGAAAAATAATCACGTCTTGTTTCAATTTAAAATTTACGCGTAATTAATTAAAATTATATTTAGAAAAAGAAACGTTAATGTAAAACGAAGATTTGTAAATATCGTTCATTCAGATTTATCATTGGATAATGCAGATATTTATGCAAAATTTGAATGTACAAAAATACAGAATGCAGATGATAAAATATTCAAAGCATAATACGCGTTTGAGGAATAAAATAAAACTCATAAAAATTTGATTTTGTATAAAAATTCTTTACAATTTTTATACACTCGTTTCTTAAGAAGATCCATTGACAAACCTGATCAGACTCTCTCTAGACATCCAATCTCTGTTTCTCAACACCGTTTTATAGCATCCTAGGAGTAGAAGAAGAACGATTCCCATTGTGATCAGACTTCTTCTTCGTGGAATAGCCGTCCAGCTGATTTGCATCCCATACACGACCAGAAGGATCCATCCAACGCTGTAAATATTTATTCTTTCATTTCTATGTTAATTCATTTGAATTTTTACAAGATATCGCACTTTAGCGAAAGATTCAAGAAATATATCATATTAATAAAATAATTCCCATATATATATATATATCAATAATTATAATAAAAAAAATGAAATCATACTACTTTAAAAATATCACTCGATATATTTCTCCAATTTTAATTTATTTGAATCGTGCTACCAATATAATCTCGTAATACATTCTTTCATATTAAAAATTATAAAGATTTAATCAAAAAATTTTTGATCAAAGAAACTTATTACCATTATTCGATTCGTACGATATCAAATTTTAAAAAAAGAAAATATCTAAATATTTCCAAACATTCGTATACAATATATTATAATTTTACTGAAATTCAATTATTCTTTTCTTTCGTGTAAAAAAAAAAAAATACGTCACAATGTATACAAATTTTCAAATTATGACGTATGACGAGAAATTGTTAATTACCTGGGCATGTAGAGTACACGTTCCGCGACGACGAATCCAACGGTAATAAAAAGATTGGATGCGGGCAGGAACGGTAGTACCAGGAACATCCAACCAAGAAGAAGAGGCGGATGCCTCTGTTGCTGAAAATGAAACGCAAGTTGCAAGGGTTAGAAGCGGTGAAAAGCGTTCTACCTTGAAACGAAATTGCGTTCCCGTGGAATGTTGTGTCAGCCAGTGTAACCGCGTATTAAATAAACTTTCCACGAGCAAAGAACGTAATATTCGCGCGAATACATCGACGATTAAAATCGTGTCACAGACGCGTCAATAACATTTCGAGTATTTATCTTAAGCATTTCGAGCAACAATATTGTACGATGTAAAAGAAATAAACTTTGTAATTTATTAATTGTTTTTTACGATCGATCATTGGAGTATTCATATTACAATATCTTAATGATCCTTAAGATATTAAACAAGTGAGAAAATTTATTTCGTTATTTTTTCCCGATAGTTTTTAAAATTCTTAAAAATGTATATTTTTCTTTGGCTTGTGATTCGATAATTCTTTTTTTTTTTTTTTTTAAATTTTTCTATAATCTGATCAGTCTTTCGTCCAGTTATATTATATTTCCTTGTAAAATAATTGTATTCTAGAATCCTGTCAAATTTCTACTTTTTTAATTTCGATATATTAAAGTGTTTCCTTTTACTTTTAATGCAAAAAAAATTCAAATTTCGAAAATTTATAATGTAGAAATATATTGGTAAATATCTAATAGAAACTGCAAATCGATTTGCATTGAAACGATATTAATAAGGAACAAAAATAAACGAGATGAAGATAGTTTAATAAATAACCTCGTATCGTTGATGTAATTGTCGTTGGATGCAATATTAATTATTCTCATATGATCAATTTCACAGGAAATGTACATAAATATATACGTAAGGTATATATAATTTACAAAATTAAAAAATTAATAATTAAAAAATAAAAAAATTAATAAAACAAATTATCCACATAATTAAACGAAAAATATAAAATAAAATGTATAAAATTTCGTAGATTCAGAAATAACATTCTTGTTTGTGTAATATTAAATAGCTTCACCATAAGAATAAAATTTCAACGAAGGAAAATTATTGCAAAATATTCAATTACTCGATGATGAATGGGAGCAAATTATTTCGCTTTCGAACAATCGTAAAGAATTAAAATTAAAATATAAATTTTTAACTATTATAAATATTACAAAATAATTATACAAGTGTTTGGTTTGAAAAATTGAATATTTCAAATCGAATAACACATCGAGATATTATATCATTTATCTTTAAATAAAAAAAAAAAAAGAAACAGTTTCCTAAAAGAATTAATTCGAAAGCGATTCTCACGAGATGCCAAACAACTTTCTGCGACAAACTTTTAACATGGCTCATCCGAACAAAGGCTAGTTAGCCGCAAACCTGAACGTAATATGAATCTTTCTACAACAGAAATTGTATTTTCTTGCCGGATACAAGAAAGGGATACGTTTCAAGATGGGATACACTTCGTTAGATCGTTCCATAATTCATCCTTAATTTCCTTCGTTCAAAGAATAACGAAGAGGAATAACAGAAACAAGAAGAGGGAGGGGGGTAGCAGAGAAGACGTTACGAAACCTGGAGGCACGATACAAAAAGGGCGAAAAACAACGCCGGATCCTTCAACCAATCAAGGAATCAAGGTACACGATATCGACGAGGAAAAAGAGAAACGAAAGAGGAGGAGTTACATCACGATCTCGAGATGGAACACGGATAAACAATAACTTGTAGAAAAATTTATTTCGAATAATAATAATAATAATAATAATAATAATAATCGGAGGAACGGAGCTAAACGATGCACCATCGTTTCTGGAACAACAACATTCCCCTGTGTTCCACCGTGTTTCCAGACTGTTTGTACAATTGTACCTGCCGGTGTATATAATCGACGTATCGCAAATCGAAACGAGTAATAGTATTCGAGGTTCTCGAGGAAGAGCGAAGACGAGATGAGGACGCTCGTGATCCTTTTATCCTCGTTCCTTTTCCATTGGGCGGCTGTCTCGCATGGGATTCGAGGCGAAACCCAGCGGGGTGGAGGCGTGAGAGAGGGGGAGAATATAGCCGAGGAGGAAAGCATCTTGAACGAGGGAGAGGGGATTTCTTTGGTGGACGGACGACAGAAATCACGCCCGACCAGGGATGGATTAACCCGGCGGGAAATAGGATCAGTGGAGGAGGCTTGGAGCGGAACTGATTGGGGAGGGTCGCTTCCTCGCTTCCCCGCGGATAGACAGGTATGTTTGGACACGATGCGGATGATCAAAAGGCTCGCCTCCTCCGACGTTCGACATCCAGGCACTTGATTTTCTTCCGGTTTGTCGGATACGTCGGAAGATACGTCTTTGAAGCTAAATGAATAGACTGATGTTTATTTTTTTTTTTTTTTATTTCACCCCTTTTTTCTAAATCTCGTTACAACGTATATAATGCTTTCACGCGTACAAAAATCTTTGATTGTTGTTATTTTGCAGGGAAATTTATTCGATATAAAATCGGGTGTACAGAGTGTTATTTATGGAATATATGTTTTGGAAGATCGAATTTAGAGGTTAAAAGAGAGTTTTAAGTTTAAGTCGGATGAAACGAGATATCAAGTATTATATTTATATTGAATATTTAATTCAATCAGATATTAACAGTCATAATAATTAAATTATTGTTATTATTATATTAGATCCTCATTCTTTCAAATAGTATTTATAAAAATATCGTACATTTCCCTATATTGATTTTTCTTTTAGCAATGTAATATTATATGATATAATGAATTTAAGAATAGAAAATTTGATTTATTTGATACAAAACAATATGGATATTCCTTAAAAACATTTAGTACATACATATATATTCGCATATATATATTCATTAACTCAATTTAAAACCATAACAAATTAATCTCGACTTAAAATACACGTTGAAATTTATATTTAAATGCAGGAATTGGATAGAAAAAAGAGAAATCTATCGTCTCTGATCTCTTTACTGGGATCAAGTCTGAAAGAAACGGAGTTAAAACATCGAGATCGAAGGTCGTCGATCTCAGATCCTCACGACGATGAGGAGATTCGAAAGATTCTCGTGAACGCGAAGGAAAAATTGAGCGACGTGAAATCGAGAAACACGATCGACGACGATTGGATCTTTTTCGTATTGCCGTCGAGATCGGGGTCGTTGACGGAATCGTTATTCAGGCCGGCGGGCAATGGTTTCAAAATTGGGGCGCAAAGTTGGCGACAGAATGAGAGATGGTTGGACGACAAGGAGTTTTTAAATGCGAATAAATTCGATTACAACGAGGAGAATCTTAAAAAATACGAATCCCCTCTTTCGGGTTGGAATATCGACGCGAGAAATAAATATTCCGGCGAGGCGGAGGGAACTTCTTGGACCGGTAAGGGGAAATCTGACGAGAAGACTGGTGGAACAAATTTTGCATTAATAAAAGGAGGGAAGAGTCGGTCGAATAAACAGCGGTTCACCAAAAATGATGCGTACAGGAATGGCGACGAAGATTATCGTGGCATAAAAGTCAACGTTGACGTAAAAAAAAATGGGGAGACATATGGCGATATTTCAATCGATAACACAATGGGCAACGTGGTGGGGAGTGATAAACTGTCGGCTGCAGAAATATCTGTGAAAATACCCGAAGCGCGATACAACAAAGCGATCCGAAACAAGCGACCTTCGAACGATAATAAATCGCGTTACGTTTCGGATCCGTTTGTTTTTCTGACGGAATTGGAAGGTGGAACAAGACGAGGCGAGGAGAAGAATAAGGGATCGACGCCCCGTGAATCAAACGTAATAAAGGTGCATCAAAGTCCGCCTGGCGGCAAGTTAATCGAGAACAAAGTGGAGGGAAAGCCTTATCGAGATCCGAAGTACAGGTTGCCGATTATTGTTGGGAAACATCGGGATGCCGAATTCTCGAACGATGAATCACGTTCGAGTAAAAATGGCGTGGAACGTGCGAGAATGAAAATGGACGACGAGTTGTTATGGATCGAGAAGGAAGAAGCGAAGTTGAAGAGGGGGGAGAAAAATTTTGGTGAATTGCAAGTGTCGCAATTGTTGGAGGAATTGTCGAATATGAGGAAGCAGATAGAGAGGAATCAGAATCTGTACGGGGGAAATGAAAGGAATCACGGCTCGAGTCCCTCGCGTGTCGAGAGAATAGACGCGAGGGATGGTATCCGGGTGGAATATGATAAACAGAAGAGCGCAGCTGAAACATCAATTCCTCTAGACGTGAACAAACGTGGCGGTGTGAAACATCAAGAGAAATCGACGCCCAAAATCGACGAAAAGGTGGATGGTGAGCGGAAAAAGGAGAAGGAAGGTGTGAATCGTGATGAGGTGCAGAAAGAGACGGTGAAGAGACGTGACGATTACGATTCTGATAATAATGATAAAGTCAAATGGATATCTTTGAAGGGAAAACAAAAAGCGATAGCTGATGTAAATAAGGATGAAGAGAAATTAGATAAATTGGAAAAGAAGACGCTTGAAGAAGGAAATTCAGAAATAAGGGGATCACAGCAGATCGATATAAATAATAAGACAAATTTGAGAAAAATTAAATTTAATGTGGAAAATTTAGAGGAAAAAGATAATCAGAAAAGAAAGAAACAGGATTCTAAGGTAGAATATGGGGTGAATAATCTAAAAGTGGATAATGAAGACAGGAAAGATGAATTAGAAAATGTAAAGGAAGAGAAGTATATAAAAACTGAAAATAGAAATGAATATGATATACCTGACATAGGGCGATTAAAGTTTAAAAATGAAAATTCTCAAGAAAAATTGAAAGAGAAATTTGATAAAGAAAATTTGAAAAAAATCATTTTTGGAGTGAAAATTCCAAAAATTAAAGATTTTAATATCAATAGTGAAGATTTTAGATTAGAGAATTTGAATTGGATAGAATATAAAGGAGAAAATTTGGATACAGAAGATAACGAAGGAAATTTGAGAAGAGAAAATGAAATTAAAAAGAATATTGATAACAATTTAAACGGACAAAAATATGGATTAAATA